AGATCTCAAGTAAACAGATCTCATGTCTTCGGCACTCCTGCTGTCGATACCACCGATGAGTTGTCCGATGGGCTGACTGTCGACCACCTCTTGACTCGTAACGCAACTCAAGTCAGACCCCATCTCCAGGAGCTCTCTCTGCGTGTCTTCGATGTCGTCCACAAAGGCTTCACTCGAATCCAACTCCACGTCCGCCTCGAAGTGTATGAATTCTGCGGCCAAACAGCTGTTCGCATGAAAAACACGAAACATTAGACATAGTCTTCAGTCAATCGCTAATAAAATACCGATTTTTGGTGCCTTTTGTGACTCCTTTCGATGTCTTCGGCGGTTGTCTATCACTGAACCGCTTCTCGACAATGAGTGGCGATTCGGGTATCGATTCCAACGACTCGTCTGCCGGCGACTGATGGCCACTACTACCGCCGCTGTCGTCAACATCGATGCCTATCACGTGATCATCAGTAGCTCTCGTGGAACCGTTGCGGTGATGATCGCCGGCACACGTGTTGATCGCCGACTCATGAGTTGCGGTGATATTGTCGTCGCCTGTCTTCCACGCACTCAACACTTCTCTGTAGTATTCAACGGAAAACCTCTTCAATCGCTTCCCATTCGATGACAATCTGTGAGCCATTCGGCCGACAATTTGATGGCTAATGAGGTCTTCAGTGACCAGAGATTTGAATCTTTGTTGTCATTCAACGGTTCAAACAGTTATTACGAAAATTACGGCTTATTTAAAGGCAATTGCGATACGAGTAGTAAAATCGGTTAACTGTTAGCCTTAACTGAGTGTCAGTTAAAGGGTTTTGCGTTTCAATGCGCTTTAGTGCACAGTATTTGTGGCAAAAGTATAGCCAAAAAAGGTAAACAAAAAAGTTTTGAAAAACATTTATTTATCTGAGGTTTGGATCAATTATCTGAAGACCTCTTGAGCTGATGGCCACCGCAAGCGATGACCACATCGACAGTCTGTACCTCAAGACTACTGATCGCGCGTCGGATCAGTTAACGGCCGTCGAGGAGTCGGCCGATGATAACGATATCGTGTGTATGGTTTGCGGCCAAAGTGTGTCCACTAATAGTCCTGTCGATGATATCGGGAACCACTCGTCAACGACCACACAGTCTAAGACAGCGCCAGAACTGCAGAAGCATTTGCTGACCACTCATAAGGTTGTAATCGCAGACATCGACGCCATCGGCGAAGACATCGCGAAGTACTGCCGCTATTGGCGACAGAAGATGGTGGCCGTCGACTCGGATGAATGGATCCACTTCTGCGCCACAATCACCACAAACAGGTTTCTATTGAACCCATTGGTGATCACATCCACCACTCGATCACTGACTGTCTGATTGTGTGTCCAAACAGTGGTCCCAATGATGTGTCCCCTCCGGAGACCTATTATATGATCGGCGGATCCGCTCAACAGTTCCCCGAAGACACCGCACTTCGGGAGCGCCTGAAAGCCCAGCGCCTGACGCGAGTGCTCGAGCAGTGGGAACGGGAGCGCAACG